AGTCTTATAAATATCTTTAATTATATTATGGGTTAAAGAACTAATGGAGGGAGAAACGGGAAAAACCGCAAAAAAGAATGTGAAAGAATACTCAAAAATGGCAAAAGCATCTTTGGTCCAAGGGATTGGTTCGTTATGGAAGAATTTAGATTTGCTTATTGGAAAGTTATGTAAGAGTAGAGAATCAAATGGTGCTAATTAATAAGAAGAGTGATTCGAACTCGTCTGTGTTAAGATTGGTTTGTGTAATAAAATCAAAATATATTTTTAAGTCTTGGTTTAGTTAAAAAGTTAATTAGTATACGGTCTAAACCGGTGGATCTTAACGATAATTATCTGTTGTTTCGGTGATTATTTTGACTAAAATCATGAAAGCCAAATAATCGGTCTCATGCCATGATGGGCATAACTTGTCCCGCAGTATAAACGTATATATGCACTAGGGTCAGAGCGTTGCTCGGGCTTATTTATATTAATTGTTGTCATGTTTCGGTTATGTTATCACTTATCACATCACTATAATATTACCAGCTGATCTCTTTTTTATATATTTTATGTTATCATATCTTTTTGGAAGCCCATTTAACTAAGCTCAAGCAAGATTGGTTACTTTGACCAATATCATATCTTTGATTTTTTTTTTTGAAAAACAATTGTACATGAACGAAAAAAATATATGGCTAAGTGAACATGCCCTTTCTTTTGCGCTTAACAAATTTGACAAACTTGAAAGAAGTATTTAGATCAATATGATGTTGGTCGGTTCTAAAGTCTTTATACTTATTCAGAACTAGATTTTTGTCTCTCGTCAAACGCGGTATTAGAATATTTGAAAATAAAAAATCATAACCTTTTATAATATATAGAAAAATTAAAAATAATAAGGTCAAATTATATGTCTTCCATATAGATAAGTATATTTTATTTTATAAATTTTAATATCTGCATGACACTTAGACTGAATGTAAATATTTTAAATCTAAATCGAATTCGTTTGAGATTATGGGTTCTCTCAAACTTATATAAGCTCACCAAACCCACAAAAATATCGCGTTAGTATGTAAATATTCTTAAATAAAAAAATAAAAAAGTGAAAATGATGATTTTCAAAATTCAACCGCTGATATTTGATTTGTAAAGTTGTAAAGTTGACATAAATAAAATTTTTATAAAGTAACTAATTCATTGTTAAAAAATTATATTATATGACGTTTAAATATTAAAATGTTATATTTTAGTCGAATTTAAATTAATAACATATGTATTTGTGAGCTTATGTTAAAAAATTGATGTAAATATGTAAAAATTTTCAATATAACATATAAACTTAATTAGAATATTTGATTAGTTAATTTAATCGATGTATCCCTTAAAATCTTTATTGGATGACACATAAGATTTTTTTNACTTANTGTCGGATAGTTTTATGACCTATCGATCATTTCTTTGTAAGCCATATATGTTTGGATCTATAAAATTAGGATTTTAGATTTATTTTCTTTCCTTTTTTGGGGGCTATGAGGCTTATGTTTGACTAGTGCCATAACGGACCGCTTTAAGGTTTACCCATTTGTCTATCCCGTTAAAAATCACTAGATGATTCTCCGCGTTATATGCGATTAAAGATTTGTTAAAAATTAGATAAATTAGAAGAATATTATTTTNTGGTTAAAAATTNCNAATGATGTTTAATTTAGATTCCAATTCTGTTTTTTGTATGAAATAATATCTTTTTTGTTTGTTAGCACTAATTTTAATTTTAATAATATAAATTCATTTAAAATTCTTTTTTTTTGTGTATCAAACTTCATTTACGATTCAATTCTCAAAAAATAATTGAATTGGTCTTTGGATCAAATTTTATATCGTAATAACCAAGTAAAACCTTTTCTATTTCTATTGATATGGTAGTGTCTATCTTGTACCAAATTATTATTACTTTGTGTTTAAATTTTTTTAATATTTATTTGGTTAAACCTGTGTGAATTATTCTATTTGTGAATAACAATAACTAAAATGAAAATATCTACTATGGATAATATTGTATGGTTTGATTTTGGTTTCTTTTATTCGAATAGATTTTAGATGAATATTTTTTTTTGTTAGATGTAATATTGAATTTGGGCAGTTAGATCAAACATTTTTCTAATTTTTCGAAATTTATAAAAATATTCACATTGTTATTCTATCATTTTCTTATATTTTCTTAAGGTATTATATAATATATTAGAATGTCAATTAATTAATTGTAGAAAATTTGCCTTAACAATAATAAAAATTAATTGTATAAAATCAAACACAAAAAAAATATTATATATATGGAGAAGGCCGCGAGAAAAATTTGATCAGATGATAATAGTATTGCTAATGAATTACATGAATCATGATACAATGTGCATATATACTTTATATAATATTATTTTTAGATACAATTAAAATGCAGATACTAATTTCAATTTAAAAAGAAAAATTCATTTTTACCTTTACCGGAATGCCTTATGAAAATATTTAGAATTATTTAAATTCATAATATTATTAACATAGAAGAAAACATTGAAAACCTTATTTGTTGATAAGAGAAAAATGAAAAAAAGTTC